TAATAATGATAATACGTGAAAACTGTTATTTATGGCAGTTAAAATTCTTCCGATGGATCCATGTACAAGTTTGTTTTTGTGTAGCAGAAGATTCTTCTAAGCTACACGGAGGCTTTTTTCAGTTGCTTTTACTTAATCAATGATTTCATATTCGGCAGCTTTACATTCATTTTCACCCCTGCACAAAAACCCAGTGTTCACTCATGAAAACATTCCATTTTGAATTATTTCTACACTGTACACAAACATTTTCATTGAGATGTGGCGTGCCTTCACACAGATGCAGTTTTTTTTCTAGAAATATTATGATTTATTCTCTCATTCTATCCTCACAATATAGAACTGTAATGTCATGCTCTGCTTTATAAATATATCACTTGCTTCATTTTCTGTTCATGCCAAATGAATGGGTTTCTGTAGTATAGCAGTTAGGCGCTTCGCTGTTGCCTGTAGTTAGATGACTTGAGTTCGATTCCCGAGTTGGAATATTGTGCTCGAGTTCATCACATCTCCGTCTTTCTGCTGAGGCGTTGTATCCCTCTCAGCCTGTGTTGGACCTGAAGGAAGGCTCGAAGCCCGCCCACAAAATGATCCAAATTGTATTGAAGTGGGCGTGAAAAAACCTTCACATGTAAAACGAAAATTCCAGACGAATGTTCTTTTATGTTTGAGTTTGACTGCTTCCATCAACCGCGGAGAAGCTCGATAATTGATGTATCCTTTTATTGTTTTGGACCTTGTCTCTGATTCGGATAACCGAATCTACAGAGTCTATTCACCTGTGTTTTTTCACAATTTTTATGAATAAAAAAATCAAGTAAAATGATCACTACTTAAGATACTATAAGATAACAGTTTCTTGATTTCCATAAAGAGAAATCAATAACTTATTATCTTAATTTTGTATCTGCAAAAATAAATCCATGTACATATTATCATGTTTGACTTTTGTCCAGCTAACGACATTTCGTCCACAGATCGATGGCTGGAAGAAAGACTCCCAACAAACTCCCTTTTGTAGTTGAAGATCTGAGAACAAAACTGTGCCTAATTCAAAAAAGCCAAAACTTGAGTTCTTGGAATCTATAAACAGAGAAGACTTTCCCCACATCTATTGGTAGGGCACGTGACTCTCTACTGTTAACTGTGGAGCAAGAAAAAGGGGGAACACTGCAGCCTATCCCAGAGCAGCAGATATAAACCCAATCCCACAGTTTTTGCCGTTTTGCTCCATTCAGCCAAAATTGACTTAGGCATTGTCTTGTTCTCAGGTCTCCGATTTGGAGGGTTTTTTGTTGTTGTTGGTTTTTTAAAAATTTCAGTCCTGTAGCCACCCATCGAGGTAATCATGAACACATGTATGTCTTCTAAAGACAGCTAAATGTCTCTGACTTCCATGTTCGATTTTCATGCAGTCAGCGACCTTGTATTAGCAACATATGATCACGAATACACGTCTGGCAAGGACAGCTAAATGTGTGGTACTGGAATGAAACCAGGCGCTCGTCAAAATAATACATTCAAAGAAATCGACAATTGTTTTGCCGTTGGCCAATATTTCTCGATATTTTTTTTGTTCATCACCTTTTATGTCCATTTAAATACACTTGTGGGTGTTTGCTAGCTAAAAAAATGTTGGCCATAGGCACAAAAAAGAAACATTTACATTTTCTGTTTCAAAAGACACTCAAGCTTTGGAAGTCACCAAACGGAAACGGTCATTTTCTCACTAAATTTTGCCTCTGACTCCAGGCGACCCCCACCTCCTTAGGTTGGAAACATCTCGACTTCTGTTCAAGATAAATGGGTATTTTTCCATCAATAGCAAGCAAGACAATTAATGAACAGGCTTTAGGATGATTACCAATAACGCTGTATGCCCAAAAATTGACAAGCGCCTGACCTGATTCCATCGCCTCGTAACGCAGATTGCAACCTTAGCATAACATAATTCTGACATTTTGGGCCGGTTTCAGTTACCAAGACCATTAAGTCAGAAACCAAATGTTCTGTCTGCTCTATGAAAATTGTGTTTTTCGGAGTCGTTTTCAAGATAATATTCAAAGAATTGCATTCGAAAAAGCTTAGCATGTTGTGAGTGAAACTAAATGTGAGGCAGCGTTGTGGAATCAGGCTCACGTCAAAATAATCAAAGTGAAGAAACTTGCATTTTTCCGCAGGTTTGTGAATT